CACAGCCTGTACTGTGTGTAAATGATGAGGCCAGAAATTACCACTGGAATTACCCAAGTAATAAGCCGTAGTACTGTTCCAACTGGTTTTCCTCCCCATTTATTTACCCTTGTAKAAGGTCACTGTATGGACACAGGAACGGGAGATGTTAAGCTCTCTAGTAATTGATTTGTTTTTCTCATTTATCTCTCACTAACCCCACAGAGTTCACGGAGATTTAAAAGCATTTTACTTCAACAGGAAATTCAGAAGAATACTTTGTCTTGATTTCCAAAGTAAACTTGTGGTATTAAAATGAGTGAGTACCTTTCTTGACAGCAAGATTTAACCCCTTGTTTCTAACAGGAAAGAAGAATCCAGGGTTTCCAATATCTGCATGGATCTCCCACAATTATTCAAATTATGCTTAAAGACAGACCTTTTTTCTTGGAGTTTGCGTATTTAATATGGGCCTGTCTTTTTCACTTGCTTCTTCTGTTTGGGCTGTATTTCCGCTCTGGAGGAGAGTCACCTAAGTGTATCAAGAGCTGCTGTGGATCTTGTATGATATAAATTATGGGGTCAAATTCTCACGCCAGAGAAATGACAAAACCTTCTATAGATTGGAAAGTACTTACAATTTTACCCATTGTGTTAGCATGCAAATTATGTTAAAGTAATGCTAAAATAAACTGTGGGAGATTTTGCTTGGTAGGTTTGACTATTTGTTTGGATTTGTGGTCCATTATTCAACTCTAATGACCACCATTTATTTGTTCAGTCCAACAGTCTAAATTTTTTGTTGGCACATCCTTATTTTCTTAATGCCCTAAGTCTGAAAAAGGTATGTGTGTGGTCTTTATTGCCTACATGCAGTTGTGTGGTCTTTTCATGYTTCTACCAATTTATCTGTTTACTGGATTAAGCCTATCATAAATGTTAGAGTTGAGCTAAGAAGCTTACATTTGGCTAGGTAAAACCTCACTGATCCACAGGCTGTTTGGTTTTTGGTGTTATCTGAACCCACCCACCAGTTGTGAGATTCACAGAAAGTATCTGGGCTTTACCTTTTCTTTTTGTAAGCTGTTCTCCTTAATAAGAATCAATATCAGGAATAATAGCAGCATGACAACTGTGTCTTCTGCCATGAAGTGCCAGCCTTGAAAGCATCAGAGTTGAGCTTTGTGGTCCAGAATTTAAATGTTAAATATTCAAGATCAGAACAGCTCTAGTATTTTGAGCTTAATTATTGCTTCCCTTTGAGCCCCTGGAAAGAAGCTGTGGGTAAGAGACCAATTTTAAGAGCCTGCTCCTGTTTTACTTCATAGAAGTGTATGAGGTAGTTTAGACAATTCCACAGGGCATCTTTTTGCCTCAGTGTGCCACATGAAAATGTGCAGGATTGTTTTTATTCTTGCTTGAATATGATGTTRTTGTTTAAACCCTCACTCCCCCTACAAAGATGTGTTTATGCTTCCTTAAATACAATAGCAATGTGGAAAAAGGAAATCTGTCTCTTGGTCCACTTTGACATAGTCATTCGCTTTTTATTCCATTGTTCCTTCTGTGGTGTGATTATTTTATTTTATTTTATTTTATTTTATTTTATTTTATTTTATTTTATTTTATTTTATTTTATTTCATTCCTCGAGGTAGCTTTTTTTTTTGTGTATGTGACACTTACAGGAGAGGAATAATTAAATCAAATGGTACAAAATCACGGCAGATCGCTCTTTCATCAACTCTACTCCGTGGGTCAGCACTCCCAGTTTACAAACTGATTAGGAGTARAAAACTCCATGTGAAAGATTCAGGCTTGTTTTGCTTTGTTTTGTGTATGTGGATAATTCCCTGCAATAAATCTTCCCGCACACCATCCTTTTCACTCCCTGATGTTAACAAGACTGAGATCTATGCGTACACATACACACATTGTCTGTCTCGAGCTGGCAATGTCTTGATAAGAGGTTCATTATAATCCACCACTGTCAGAGGTGGTTCTGAAATGATCTGCAAGGCAAAACATCATGTATGTATTGGGGATTTTTTTTTTAATTAAATAGAAAAAGTGTCATGAAACTTTCTTCAAAGGTGCCAGGGAGCTGTTTCTTCTGAGGCATGTTGTTCTTTTCTTAGGCAGTGGGTCTYTGATAAGTGTCTCTCAGCACCCTCAGAAGTGTTTTCCAGGTTAGGAGGATGAGAGGGAGGAGATGGCAGTCGTGATGGCACTGGCTGATAAAGCCAGAATGCAGACTAAGCCTTCAGATCAATAGGAATGCAGACAGCTGTAACACCAGACTGCCTGGTGTCAGCTTTAATTTCACTTCCTGCACCGGCTGCACCCAATTTCCAGCCCTTGGAGTCGGAGGAAATCTCCCTCTGCTCGCCAGGCACCCGTGGCACAAGCAAGCAGCTCGTAAGCATGGGAAGGGCAGTCAGGAAAGCATCGAGAATAACCACAGGGGCAGTAGTTTTCCTCTCTCTGGCCTTTGCCCCAGGGGTGCCCACAGGTGCCTTTATCTTCGTGTCCASTCTTGCTCCAGTGTCCTGTCCCAGCATAGGGCACYRAGCTGCCTGGGCACCAGCCACCCAAGGGTTAAGCCCTCTCTCTTCTGCTGTTTTATTCAGAATAAGATTTGATACCAGTGGATCTGCTGAAATTTTTCTGGTGGGGTAAGTGCGTTTCAGCTTTACCCAGATTTGCAGGGTTTGCCTGTGCTGGCAGCTTGGCAGAGTGTGCTGGCTGGTGGCATCGGGTGGCCTGGCCAGGGTAGCTGGTGGGACAGCAGAGCAAGGCAGCCTGCCCTCCACACACAGATGTCTTGTGTTGTTCCTCCCTGTGGGATCTAAAGCTCCCCCTCAAGCAGTCACGAGTCTTATGTTAAATTACTGTAACTCAGGTGCTGCATGGACTATCTTGACTTCCTCTGTGGTTGCTATGCTGAGTAAAGGCAGGGATGAAATTAAAATCCTTGTTTTTCCTTGCAAGGCCTAAAGAGAGGCTTTGTTTTGCTCTTTATGARGTCGTTGGATTTTGAAATCAATAATGTAATCTAAGATTGGATTATAACGGAGCTAAATATTGAAATGCAATTACAGAAAGGGTGAGGAAAGTGAAAAGAAGAAAGAAAGTCTTTCTTTGAAGCCCCTATTTTTCAGTTTTCAAAAGTTCACAAAACACTTTATTTAACCATCTTTATTTATGGRGCACCAAGGGATGCCTGCAGGGAAGACATGCAACACTTGAATTTATAATATACAACTTAAATAGCAGGGAAATGCAAAAAGCAGGACAAACCCCCCCAAATAATTTTGGTTTAATGCTGGAGATATATGCAACTTATATGTTTGCATCTCATTCCTTCCAAATTCTAAGTCAGTGTAGGTGTAAGCGTTTTTTTAAAATCAGTTCTAGTCTTTCAACTGATCAGGCTGCTTGTAATCAGTGTAACAGAAGTCCAGCATTCAGGAACCATTCTCCTTGACACTTTGGGTATTCTGAATCTAAGTGCAAAATGTGCAGTGTTAACAAGTTTGTTTTTCTTGTTGCTGTTGTATTGAACTCCTGGAAATCCTTTGATTTCATATTTGTGTATATATGTATATACAAACATACGCACAAATATTTCGTATAAAATAATGATCAACACCTTGAGCATTTAAGGTCTCTTCCCAGACTTACTGCATATTTTTTCTGTGTTCTCTAGCATATAAATTTTAATTTTAAAATCAATTTGCAGTGCAAATATATCTGCTGTTGCATTTTGGACTCATCTGARCTAAAATAAAAGATTCAGGAATCATGGCTGATATGACACAAGCATTCAGTAGTGGTGAAATAAAACCCCAGTGTGATAGCTGAGTGGCTTTGTGAGGGTAGCTGGCGTCRGAGGCAGCTGATCATACAAGAGGCTGATCCCTGTTGTGCACTGCAGTAGGAATCTCAGGAGAAAAATTTTCCCTTAACCAAATCCTTTGAGTCCACAGGCAGACAAGGAACAGCAGAAAGAGGAACGTTAAAGTGTCTCGTTTACTCGAATGGCTTTTAAAATTTGGACCATAGTTACAGGCATTTACAGGTCAAGATCTTTAACCGTTTCATTGCTGATGATTTTATCAGGAGCTTTCAACATATACGCTTATTCATTTTGGCCCATCTTCCCCAAAACTGCTTACTTTTCCAGTTTTGAGCCACAGAACCTAGACAGAGTAATTCTTGCCAATAGTTTGTGATTTAGTGAATTGAAGTATTTGCAGTTGCTAATTAAAAATATTAAGGGAGAGTTGTCTATGCCATGACTACAAATTGTCAGTATAGCACAGGCTCTTTTATTTTTGTGGGCACTCTATAAAACTTGGTCCAGCAGAGGCACGGGTAATTTGATTTAATAAGCTAATAAATATGTTTCAAATATGCTTACCGCAGGTCATAAAAACAGAAGGGTAGAGCCACAACACAGGAAAAGGAAAAATTATGCACATTAAAAAAATACTGATTTGGGAAAGAAATCCCTACTGACATGACCAGAATTCAACAGGAATTTCTATAAGTTAGAACAACATTTTCCCTTTTATCTGGTGGCAAAGTGCTTTCTGCAGTAAGAYCCCAGGATAAGTTATCCTCTATGACTGCGATAATAAGCTGTGTGGCTTCCCTTACTGAATGAGCAGAGAAGGGAGCAAAAYAAATGGTGTAGCTTTCCTTGTTGATTAATTTGACACTAATTTTATGTTGCCTGTAAACAGATGATTTCCAGTGGGCTGGCAAATAGATATAGAAATAAATTAAAATTTATTGTGGAGTGATGCCAAAGTCAAAAGTGGAAGTTAGAAATTTTGGCAGCTGAAGGAGTCTCGTCTGTCTTCTAGACCAAAGACAAAATGAGAGACTTGCAACMCCAAATTTCCAAGTCATAGAAGATGGGTGCTTCCATTAGAATAACAGGAAGTGACATCATTAACAATATAGACATTTAAATTGACATAATTAGTTTCTTGAAGTTAATAAGCCATCTGTGCAACAACAAGGGCGATGCTCACCTCTGACACTGTGGTTCCATCCATAGCGCAGGCTTATGCTCGGCTCACTTTCAGAGCCCTGCTTTGGACACGTGGAGCTCTTTGATTTCATCTCATAAAACCTGAGGAGCCGAAGGGTGCTTCAGCTGCTTGACTGAGATTCACAGCAAATTCTTGGGTAAGAATATGGTTCAATGGACACAAGAGTCTGAGGATACATCTCCAGTAAGAAGMACTTAGGTCTGGCTTTGGAAGGGTTCAAGTCTCTCCCCTCCTCTTATATATCTTTGTGGAGCCTTGTGCTCTTCCAAGCTCAGGTCAAAACTACAGAAGAGCTCAGGCATCAAAACAATAGCATTAGCAAAATCTGGAAGTTATTTGGTCAGAATCCTACTGTGCATGTTTTGTTTGTATTTGTGTAAAGTTATTCGGTTAAAGCTATTGCTTTTGGGGAAGGACACAATTAACAATAACAGCATCATTTGGCACCAAGCTGTACCTTGAAATGCCTCTAACAGAGTGATTATTTGGAGCAAACATCTCTGAAGTAAGAGCAGTGCCCTTGGCTGTCTGCATCTGACTATGAGTCTGTCAGTCAAGAAAGGATTAACACACTGCATTGCTGATAGAACAGGGAAGGGAAAGGAAAGGAAGTTTYATGACTCCTAATAATAACTTCATTTTATCTGTTTTAAATTGAACTGTTTCCTACTTCAACATTTATTATATATTTAGAAATTAAATGTTTAGTTTTCATCTTGAAATAAGAACTTTTAAAAAAGACAGAAAATTATAGCAGAATTTATTCAGGTTTGAGTGAAATGATTGCAGTTAAATGAATAGAACTTCTTTTCATTAGAAAAAAGTTCAAACTTAGCTATGTTTTCAATGCATTTTCAGCATCCTACCCAAGTTTAAAAATATGTTCTTTACTGAGCTCTGCCAGTAYCCTTCTCTGCATCGCATTAGGCAAAATAGGTGTGAGATCCCAGTACACATCACAACTAGTTTTAGAAATTATCTCCCTAGATCAAACTATCAAGAAAAACCACCCAAGCAGCTGGCATATTTGAATTTTTGATCTGAATTTTAGACCTCTGTTTTAAACTGGTAGAGGTAGTCTTGGCGCAGTTTCCATTCTGCTGTCGGCTGACTCAGGAATGCCACATCATCTCGATCTGATTTGAAGTTTTATRTGAAAAAATGTAAATATTTGTTAATGTGATTTATTAATGAAATTTTGAAATCTGCTTGATTTGAGTAGTCTCTGACTAGCTGATCAGCAGAAAAGTTTTGCATGCATACCTGTGTTAGCACTCCCTTTCAGAGGAAACGTGTCTATTGCAAGCTGGATCAAGTTTGGGAGATTGCACCTCAGGGGAGATGGTAATAACAGGAGATACTTTCAATATTCACTGCATCTAGGAAATTGTAAGATTAATGACCACAAGTGCAGAAAATGAGCATGAAATAATTTCACTTTCTGTGGGTTTAGTTTAGCTGGAAACAGAGCTGAAATGCAGCTGCTCTGCCTGTATCTATTTCAAGCACTGCTTTACCTGATGAAGACATGCTATTATGTGAAATGCTCCTGTCTATTAGAAATTAGTTAGGTAATAACTTTTTACAAGGGTGAAGGAGTTGCTTAACCCTGAAATCTTTTAACACATGGACTGTCAAAAAGATCTGCTTTTATCTCATTCTTTGAGAAGGCAGTTTTTTATGGAATATTTTCATTTGCTCAGGGTGTGGGTTCATTTTTTTTTTTTTTTTCAAACTCAGTGTCTGTGTGATGACAGAATTTATTTCATTCATTATTATTGCCACATATTGAAGCATTTTATTTTGATTCAGTAGACTATTTTTGTTTCCATAAATTACCCAGTCTGTTTCTCATACAAATGATGGGATGGATGCCTCTGGTGTTAAGGAAGATAAAAAGGGAAGGGAAGGAAAGATATATTTGAGATTACCTTTAGTGTCATGCAAGTTATTACCTAGCAGTCTGAGAAGAGTTTGCAGAAGTGTCTGATAAATATGTTTAGAACAAGCCTGTACTGGAACTAGAAGGGCAGCCRGTGAAGGTGCACATCCAGCTTTTGATTTTACCCATTTTCTCAAAATGCAGATGAATCACTTAGGGCAGAAATCCATCCTTTCCTAATCACTTTCTTAGTTTAATTTGTGTTGACCGACAAAGGGCACTGTGTTATCTTTTCTGAATAACTATTAGTGCCCTTGGTTTCAGCTTGTTGGTGTATCATTGGACTTGCTTCATATTTTGGGYACAAGCTGAGGAATCTCCTGCCTTTTTCCACACCATTGTGAGCAGAGGGTGTCGCCCATATTAGATGAATTGGCAGGAGGGAAATAAAGTCTGCATTTTTGTTTTGRCAGCATACACAGGCAAGAGACTGGGAAAGTCTCTCTTTGAGAGGACATCAGTGATGTGAGAAGGAGGGTATGCATGAGGTTTTTGATGTCATTCTTCAGTAGAGGGTAGTGCAGGGAGGTTGTAGCCAAAAAGCTCTGAACCTGCCCTTTGGTACCTGGGGCCATGTCCTATTACCACCAGTTTAAAGGGGCTTATTGTGAAAACTAAAACAAGTGCTTTTCCTGACAAATGAAAGGGAGAATTGATAGGGTCAGGAACTATCAACAAATTTGAGATAGGCATAAATGGGCTGTTTTTTCAAGTTTTCCTCTTGTTCTGTATCTTGGTTCTAACCTAATGATTCCAGGTACTGGAAGATTTTGCCAATTCTGAATGAAAGATAGTTTTACAGTTACAAAGCAAAATAYAAAACTTCTGGAGCATCTCCAGTGTGGGTTGAATCAGATGAAATGTTTAAAATCTAGAACACTCTTGGGTTTTCAGTTAAGGTTAAGACCAAATGTCTTGATATCTGTACTACAAACAGAACCTGAAACAGGAATTCTTACTTGCAAGATAATGTCTTTCTAAACCTTGGCTGTAACTTGTTGGTCTTATTCTTTTCAAAATCTAGTCCCAAGTGCAAACATACTGCTTGTTCTTTCTTTYCTCAAATGTATTGTGACATTTGCTTCTTTGAAGGAAAGAGGAAGACTGCCTTAATTAAAGAGAAAACTTTAATCACTCAGCAGCCTTGCAGTGGATGAATGTCAGYGTAATTTCACCTGAAAGTACTTGTGAAACCCAGCTTTTCCATTCTGCTGAGGCATTGCTACTGCCTGGGGGATTCTTTACTGAGTTTTTCAGACATGAAAACTTCATTGTGAATAGGAGGAGGTAATCTTATTAGTCAGGTAAAAGTAAMATACTTTAGGGAGACAGGCACACCTGGTGGTACCTGCACCAAACTGCATCAACCACCATCTAAATTAACTGGAAGAATTTGGTGTTTTCACATATGCATGAAAATAATTTATTCTTCATTTGTTAAAGGGACATTGCCAAGACTGGTAGGMCTAAAATTAGCTCTCCAGCTGTGTTTTGCTTTGCAGGCACGTGCATGTCTGTTCTGTTYCTGGAAGCAGCTGGGTGTTGAAATCCAAAAGAAACCTGCTCTGTGTGAAGCGCAGAAAGAATATATGATTTTTCAAGATTCCCTCCCTTTTGTTTGTTTTTCCTTACTTCCCCTACCTCTTTATGATGACAGCCTTTTCTGGCTGGAGACCAATCTCTTCGAAGTTTCTGAGTGTTACTTTTGCTTGGGAGGCGAGARCCTGAATGCTGAGGCCAAATTTTCACCCATCAGTCCAACATGCCAGCTACAGGATGTAAACTGCATAGCCTCCTCAGAGCATGCTCAGRATTAATTTCCAGCTTGGATTCATGMTTCTCCTTGGCAAATTCATGCCAGCATCTTCCAACTGAATGYCCAGCTTGATACTGAGAAAGGAACATGCAACTGGAAGAAGGAGGAATGTGGATTTATGATTACAGAGGAACTTTCCAGAAAGGCATTTTTGGCAGCCTACAGCCTGTCTTCAGAGATGAGACAAATAGATTTCTTAGACTTAGGAGAGCTGTTTTTAGTGGCATTATTAGATGACTGCAAACTAATTCTTGGCTCTTGAATTTTCACTCCATAGTGCTTGACCTGTTATGCTTTTAGTCWTATTTAGAAACAAGCAATTCTCTTTTTAGTGTGGAAATATGATTTCTATATACCCTAAACAGTATCCCAGTAGTGTCAGTGTGTCCTGGATGAGACTTCCTTCRTACGTGCACAGGAGTGAGGCTGAGGGCAGGTGAGGGCAGCATCTGAGAGAGATGGATGAGAACTGTCGTCCCACTGTCATCTTGTGATGTATTTTCAATTCTTTTTATTTCAGAAGGCACTTGGAAATGATCTTGAGGCTCAAAGTGTTATATAAGACCCCAAGGCTCTCCTTGGGGCTACTGTGAAGAGGTTTTCTGTCTCCATTCCTCTCTAATGATAATACCAGTGAAGTATCTAAGGCATAAAAGGAAAAGAATTTTTTCTTTTAATGTTAGAAGTTATTCAGACATTGYTCATAATAGAGGTAGGCCAGGCATGGCTGTCAGTAGACTTTGTAAAATTAAGTGTGATCCAGATTTTAACTGCTAACAGAACTAGTGAAAAGCTAGACAGCTAGAGATAGTTTTTCCATAGATCTATTTGCCCCTTGTGTAGCCAAATAGGAGAGAAACTRCACCCCTGACAAAATCTTATGAAAACTGAAATGCTGTGGACCCAACTGCCAAGTTCAGTTACAACTYAATGGAAGAGAATAAACATTGCACACCTGTAGCCAAAGTACATGGGAGGGTTTTTTCCTATGCTACTYCTGAGTTCACTAAAAGCTTATCATCTGTTTGCTTAGCTGCTGGTTCAATTTAGAATAATATTTAACTCTCAMAGAATCTAAACATCGATGAAACTTTAACTTGAAAATTGACAGTTCCTACTGTTTCCASACAGAAATGGAGGAAGATGGCCATCATATACTGCTCTTCAAGAGATTTACCAGCAAATATGTTTTATGAAAGGCTTGATAAAGTATCTGCTATTAACATTGTCAATATGGAGAAAGTGAAGTCAGAGAAATGGTAAACAGCCTGCCCAGATCTACYAGGAGTGGCAGACTGTGCTTCTGCAATATTGAAAGGTATCTGCTGCTAAATCAAAACCACAGGAGATCTATGGCAAAAATTGCTGAATCGGAGTT